ATATTAAAGGGGAAAAATCAGGACTTGGAAATTATTTATTTATTATGTAAGAAACTACAAGCTGATTTTCAGGATAGGCCAGCTTGTTTTTGATCTTTAGGTCACCTGAGCCGACTGCTCATGGTGATCTATTGCCTTCATGATTTGTCTGTCGTCATTAACTTTTCACTTATTCAACTTCTTCTCAAGAACCACGGAATGGATTTTAACCAAACTTGGCACAAAGCATCCCCATGGGAAGGCGCTTAAAGTTTGCAAAGAAAAAGGGCGTGGCCCCAAGAGGGGGAAAAAAGGGGGTAAAATTAGGTAAATCTTTAAAAGTCTTCTTCTCATGAACCAACAGTCAGATTAAATTCATATTTGATATTTAGGGTCCTTATGGCAAGGTCAACAAAGTTTGCTAATGAAAAAAAAGGGGGTCAAAAATGGCTCCACTAGGGGGCATTCAAAAGGGTCCAAAATTCAACTTTGACCGATTTCAACCAAATTTGGTAGAAAACATCCCTTAGTGAAGGACATATGTTGAAAAAAGTGATTATGTGCCCTTTGGGCCCATAAGGGGTGTAAAAGGGATGGATTTTGACCAAACTTGGCACAAAGCATCCCCATGGGAAGCTTCTTCAAGTTTGCGAAGAAAAAGGGCGTGGCCCCAATAGGGATTGTTAAATCTTAGCAAATCAAGTCCTGAACCAAAAGTGTAACTTCATATAGATGATTTTTAGGTAAAGGACTGCAAAGTTTGTGAGAATAAAATTAACTGGTCCAAAATTAGCCCTTCTGATATTTGTTAAATATTAATCTTTAATAAAGACATGTTGTGTGTTTATGACAACCATATAGGCGAGAAAAAATGTGTAGCCAGATCTTTCATCAAACCCGGATCTTATTACTCGCTGAGCCTTCTATGTTCTGAGCTACATGTATAATATGGTTCAATACCTGTGGTAACACTACATTTCTCAGCCTTGATACATATATATTTCTGTCTCAAAAGTACCACAAGATTTTTTCACGTTTTATGTGAGTGTTTTTAGTTGGATGCCTTATTGTATTAGGCAAAGAAAAGATTGTGGATAGACTTGAAATTGATCTAATTTTTTGTATACTTTAGCTATACATGTATCTACTAAGCTATATTTCAACTTGTAAATGAAAACATGATCCTCTGTTTGGCTAAGACATTTTGGACTTCCTTTCAAGAACCACTGGGTGGATCATGTTCAAACTTGGTACAGATGTTTTACACATGGTCCTGCACAAGTATTGTTACATTTTTGCAACATTTTAAAATCCCGAGATTATTGACATATGTTCCTCAGGTGACCACTAAGGCCCCTTGGGCCTCTTGTTAGCTTACCAGTCCTGAAGGACCGGTGAGCTTATGCCATGGCCTGGTGTCTGATGTCCATCAACTTTTTATAAAAATTGCTACTAGTTATGACGACTGTACAGATTTATGCCAATTCAGTCAGAAGCATTCTTAGGGGAAGAGAAAGCAAGTTTGTGTAAATCTAGGTTCTTGCCAGGAGCCAGAGGGGCTGGACCCAAAAGGAGAAATTGCAAGTTGTTTTAAATCCTACTTCTCCTGTAGGAATGAATGGATATTGTCCAAATTCGGTCTGAAGCATTCTTGGTAAAGGAGAAGCTATCTTGTATAGACGTAAGGTCTGGACCTGCTGGGGCAAGGGGGATAGGGCCCAATTGGGGGAAAAAGAGTAAATGTTTTAAATCCTACTCTTCCTGTAAGAATGGATTGATATTGCCCAGATTTGGTCTAAAGCATTCTTAGGTGAAGGGGAATAAAATTTTGTATAGATGTAAGGTTTCAGTCCCCTGGGTAGCAGGGGCAGGGCCTAATAAGGGAAAAAGAGTTAATTCTTTAAAATCCTTTGGGAATGATTGGATTTTGCCTGAATTTGGTTTGACATATTCTTTTATGAATAGGAATAATTCTGTATAAATTATTCATCCCAACCCCTTAGGGCAGGAGAGGTGGGCCCGATCGGGGAAATTTAAGTTCTTAAAAGTCTTTTTTCCATACAAGGATATTGTTCAAGTTTGATCTGAAGCAATGAATAGTAAATCTGGCTTCTGTTTGACCACAAGGGTGGGACTCAATAGGGGAATTATATCAGAAAGTTGTTTGTCATATTTGAAATTCTTTATTTAATGGCTGAAGAGCAAAATTACCGAGATGAGCAATGCAGGCCTGTTGGGCCTCTTGTTAAGCATAATATCTGTTCAACTTTAAAATTCTTAAAACTCATCCATTATCTATTTTTCTTTTGTTGTATTGATCTTTACATTACAAAGATTATTTTCACTATATTTATGCTCTTGTAGAGAAGAGAACACATCTTATCAGATTGAATTATCTCCAGGCCTATATGTAACTATTAGAGCTTAAAAAAAAGTTACCTATTAGATTCTTATTGACTCATGTCATAAATGGAAATCTATATACAATTCTACACCATAGCTGTTTGGTGTAAATCAATTTGCTGGAAAACTTCCTGTCAAATTCTGTTACAGTTTTCACCCTTGGGGTGTTTTCCTTAGTAACCAGGTGGTATTTATTTCTAGGTGGAAGGGATGAGGCCCAAAAGGAGAAAAAACTAATTTATTAAAATCCTTTTCCTCCTGTAGGAATGATTGGATTTTTTTTCAGATTTAGTCTGAAGCATTCTTGGGTAAAGGGAAATCATTTTTTTTTTTATAAACGATAGGTCTCAACCCTCTGGGGTGAGGCTCAAAAAGAAAAATAAAGCAATTTCTTTAAGATCCTACTTCTGTGGATGATGACCAGATTTGGTCTGAAGCAGTCTTTGGTGAAGATGAATTAATTTTGCCAGGTGGATTATACAGGCCCCACGGGCCTCTTGTTATATTTGTCTCATCACTACTGGAATTTGTTCGGATATATATGATATATGAAAGTATTTTTGTTATTTAATTAAGAATGTCTGTGTTGACAGTCAGGTGTGTAAATTTGAACTTGTGCTGGTAGAACAATGAGTGATGGATGTGTGTAATTACTGGAGGGAGTGAGTATACATAGGTATATTGATCTACATTGTCAACTAGATCAAATAAATTGTATGAAAATAGACTGAAGTAAACTTTCACTACTTTGTTGAATGATATTTTCCCATTGAATCATTATATATAGCAATAAGTCCATTTTTAGAAATAAGCCCACTGTATATACTGCAGTATAAGAAGAACTCTAAAGCATTGTCAATAAGCCTATCTCCCTACTATGAGTCAGAGCTTATAGCAACAAATACTCTATCATTTTCCTGTAATAAGCCCACCTCTCTACTTTGAATCTGAGGTTTTAACAACAGATACTATATCATTGTCCTGTAATAAGCCTACCTCCCTACTTTGAATCTGATGTTATGTGTTGGCAACCTGGGCTTGTTTTAAGATGGTTAATGTAATGAAATAAAATCCAAGCTTTTTCAAGATAATTTTGAACTTGTGGATCAATTTTCATGCCTAACATTGTTTACATATTTAAGATGTACATGTTACTTAGTTGTAGGAAACCGGTAAGTCCTGTTACACAATGTTGATTATGTAAAATAAAAATATGCCCTTAATTTATTTAGAAACATGTTTATCAAGTCACCTTTATGCACAGGTAGATAGTGGATTGTTAAGAAATAAAACCAAATGTGTACACATGCACATTTCATTTGTCTGATGACCTCAAAGTTCATCATATACTGAGCATTCTTCTTCTTAACAAATATATATTTGTTTTTTTCCCATGATGCAATGTTGTTTATTTTAACATGATGAACATTTTACAATTTTGATATTTAAGGTGTGACAGGCTACAAAATAAATTGAACATTGCACACCTTGGATAAAACTTATGTTCCCCACCCAGTGCACTCTGAAATTGACAACCAGTAATCTATTACATTGTTTACACTAGAGTTATACATTTCAGGCTAATGCCCCCTGTCATCCTGTAACAGATAGCACCTGTTTCAGACTAATTCCTGCCCTTTCTGTTAACTAGTAGCAATGGATCCCCAGCTCAGACTAGTGAATATTTCAGAATACTTTCCCAAACGTATTACATTTCAGAGTTGTTCATTTCAGATAGATTAAGAATACTGGGACTCGCTGTCTTTCGATGTTGACCACTGCACTTTATTTTCATCAGTTTTATATCAGGCTGTTTTGTTATATATTTTGAAAGAATGTTTACCAAGTGGGAAGCAAATTTTAATCACTATGAAATGGCTTGTTTATAGGCGGAATTTTCTGTCACTCCATCATTCCTTCATTCCATCCTAATTCGTTTTCAACTCATTTATTCTGTGATGGGCAGTGATATATATAAATGTAACTTGGTCTGTATTTGTGTAATGAGAAGATGCACTGGTCACCTTTTCATTTTAGTGCAGTGAATTTTTTTCTCTAGAGTTATAGACCTACAACTTAAAATATTTCTGGAAACTCACAGTTTATGTATATGTGTTTGTAATTTCACAGTGCTGGACGGGGATATAGAATGAATTTTTAGATATTGCTGGGTTACTTGTTCTTTGGGTCATCAGCTGTTGTCAACCAAAACCTGACACAATTTTGAAGAGTAAGAGTGATTCTTTTAAAAAGCAGGTAGCTATAAATGTAATTCTAAGGTTGTTTGCGGGAGAATTACTTTGTGTTGAAGAAACAAAAGTCATTGACAGACTTCAATTATCAAATTTTTTTGAAAATTTAAGTTTAATTGTTAAAAAGGGGCAAAAGTTTGGCCCAAAAGTGCTTGTAGAAAAAGTCCTAGATGACAGACTGGTCTTTTGAAGTCACTGATATTTAGCTATATAACTTTTTAATACTAGAGTTGTATAAGTATGTTCCTGTGATGACAACTGATCCAGTTGCCATTTTTAAGAGTTTAATATTAGTATTGTACATATTTGTCCTAATGTTGTCAAGTTGTCAATGTGAATTGCTAACTCACATGTTGTATATTTCAGGGTACCCCCTTGCCGCCTTCTACCGACGATTTGTGTACGGCCAGACAGCCAACATTCAACATATATTCTTCATCATAACTGGTCTATGGATCGCTTCCTTCAACTTTGGTGAGTAGTATAACAGAGCGTCCACTTTCCAATGAATAGCAAATGCACATGTGATCATACTATGTCGTGGTCTAGTGATTTGCTTTTATCTGACTTGAGTCCGTCACCTTTTTACCGCAATAAAAATCAATAAATCGGATGTATATTGGTCCTGTTAGCTATTTAATGAATACAAAGATTTAATCTGAGAGATCCAACAGTGAATAATGAGGAATCCTGAAAGAAGCCAATATGTTGTAGATCACAGCAGGCAATGTTTTCGCTAATGTACAGTATTTTTAACATTGTTTCAAAAGTCTACATTGTCTAATGTACACCTCAGACTAAGAAAACATACTAAGAGTGGTTTTTGATAAGTTCAACTTTCTCAAGACCGTGAAATTAAATGAGATTGAAAGGTAATTAGTTTGTGTTTCTCATTCGAGCAGAGTAGCGAGTGACACACCGTGTGCTGAATTCTGGTGGTAATTATTATACACATGTACCAGAAAACGAATGTCCTGAAAAGTGATGAAAAGATTTACTTGACAAAAGAAAAGAGGCATCAGATTTCTTAAAATGTACTAAATATGGTGAGGTCAGGCCTCAGTAGTATAGATTTTATATATATTTAGAAATCTTGTTGACAATACCTAGAAACTCACAGTAGAGGATATCTACTGCATTTAAATGTAGGTAAATCAAAAGATGGGGAAGGCAGGTTGATCGTGATCTGGAGAGAGACAAATTTGTATTTTACCAACTGAGAGGTATTGACTCATTACAAGTTAAGAATTTACAGTTTTTTACCTATTCAATTTTCATTATTCCAACGGGGACAAGATCGATACCAAAGTCTTCTGTATGAAAAAACAGAAAACAAGGGATTTGCTTCACAGATAATCTGAACTTTCATGGTAAAAAGTTTGTAACACCAAAGATTGTACACGTTAATGTTTAGAACCCTGAAGTGTTTCTGTTCTAAGTAATCTGCTTTCTTTTCAATCAGATTTAAAAACAGTGGGAATCATTTTCATACATGTGTTCTGTATGGCTTACATGAACTTTATATCTTCATTTGTGATGTTTGTAGATATGGAAGTTATTATCAAATTTGTCAAATGTCAAAAGAAAAATAGGAGTATTTTTGTATGGATTATCCCTTAATTGAACAAGAGGCCTATAGGGCCTGCACTACTCACCTGGTTTATTTCTCTGAAATTGCTTCATCTTGGAATACTGAAGTCATTTAAATGATGTATATCTATTATTGTTATTATACTCGTTCTTCCTGCACAAGAGGATCCAAACCCACGAAACTGATTCACCTTCACCCAAGGATGTGTCAGATCAAACTGGGATAGAATCCTGACATTCCTACAAAAGAAGTATTTTAAAGAATTTGCTCTACTTCCCTATTGGGCCCTTCCCCTTCTGCTCAAGGAGACTGCGACACACCGCTTAATCCTACAGAAGAAGGATTTAAAATATTGGCTCTCTCTCCCACCTCTCCTGCCCCTTGGGGCCAAACCCTTTTCCACCTCTCCTGCCCCTAAGGGCCTGAGACCCACCTTTTATGTAAAACTTGATTCCCTTCACTCAAGGATGCTTCAGACAGAACCCTGATCATGATACTCCTACATCAGAAAGGTTTGAAAGAATTTGATCTATTTCCCATATTAAGCCCTGTCACTCCCATCACAGGGAATTTTGTCAAAATCCATTTATCTTATATGGTAGGTTTCTGTTGAAAACTACCTTTACTCTGCTCCTTTTCTCTGTTGTACATCACTGTAACCCTATAATACAAGACTGTACTGTTGGTGTGTGGTAGGTTTCTGTCACAGTCTGTCTTTAGTGTGACTGACTGTTGTACACTGTTGTAACCCTATAATACAGGACTGTACTGTTGGTGTGTGGTAGGTTTCTGTCACAGTCTGTCTTTAGTGTGACTGATTCCTGTACAGCACTATAACCCAATGATATTACCCAGGTGTAACATATGTGTGGTGTTCATGTAGGAAAACAGTATTGATTTGGAATTTTCATGAATATTAATTATTGATTTCTCAATAGAATGTGTCCCAACAATTAAGATTGAGATCAGTGATTTCCGAGTCACAGATGTGATCTATTGGATCAATATAATTTCAAATCAGCTTGAAGATGTGATTTACCTTTCAATGGACTCTTTGAAATAAAATGTTCGTTAACAAAGGTTAAGATTGATTTAGCTTATTAGGTCACCTGAGACTAAATCTCGTGGTGACCTGTTGTGATCACCTTTGTCTGGTGTTGTACGTCCATAAACAGTTTAACATTTTCTACCTCTTCTCAAAAACCCTGAACCAATTTCAGTGAAATTTTGTAGAAACCGTTTCTTGCCTAAGATGAAAGGTAAAAGTGAATTATACATTTCCGACTTCACAGGGGCCTGAGGGGCAGGGCCAAAAGAGTCAGAATGACACAAATTTCAAATTTTTTTCTCAAAACCCTGTTATGGAAGAATCAAATACTCTTCATGAATGGAAGCAAGCATCTTAAGGTGCTTTACTGAAATTTGGAATTTTATGGCCCCAGGGTCTCGCATTTCTCCATGGGTAGGGGGTAAAATTTACTATAGTTTATACAGGGTTTTCCATAAGAGCCGGTCGCCGGCCAATTTGACAGGCTACTTTGATCATTTGGCCGCCTACACCAATCCAGTTCCGTAATAATGTTCCGTACACGACTACATGTACACGGCAGGCCAGCCTCCTACTTTCACTACACTGTCTACTACTAACAAAATTATGGAAAACCGTGGTTTATATAGAAAAAATAGATTTTTGAGCATAATTTGATTATTTGATATCTATTAGAAATATTTCAACCTTAGTTAGAACTATGAGCAAAGGATGACAACTTTTGTTATGCCCATTTTGATCCTGGCTGACCCCCAGGATGGGCTGGTCCAATGGGGTCAGATTTACTCAAATTTAAAAAATCTTCTTCTCAACACTCAGGATTGGAAGAATCAAAAGCTCTGCATGGATGAAGGCATCTTAGGGTGCTTTGATTACCAAAATGGGTCTCACATTTCTTCCTGGAAGGGAGGTTGACTTTACTTTAATTTCTATGGAAAAGTTGCATTTTTGAGCATAACGTTTATTTCCCACTGGAAATAATATATCAGAATTATTAGTATAGGATGACATGCAGTTTTGATGGTATGCATGTATTGACACTGGCTTACTATCGTCTTATTCATGACACTTGAAAGCTACCCTTTAACCTTCATATTTAATATCGGTTATCTCCGGTGACTGTCAAGGTCGCTAGGCCTCTTGTTTTTATCACTGCCACTATCCTTGTACCTAATCAAACATGTTAAAGATGTGAGTAATATGACTTAAGTGTTGTTAAGTGTTCAGTCTTATTGATAGATGCATGATGTGATTACGAAATCTTGGATGGGAAGGGTCAGGAGGAGGGAGGTGGGGAAGAGGAAGAGTCAGGAGAGTTGGGGGAGTAAAATAGCTCAAAACCAGAAACTGTTGGCCAAAAATTTGACTTTTGATGTAAACCTAACCAGGTATGAAAAGGTCAACCTTTTATAAACAAACATCTAGATTCTCTGTGGAACATTGAGGAACTTAAAAGATTTTGTTAGATACACAAAAGAACACTTTTTAAATTTGACTCCAACTGAAAAACAAAAGTTGACGTGCCACACATTATTTATTATTTCAACTGATAGCAATATGTTAGCAATATGCTATTGAACAAATGTAATCAAACCTTAACTCTTGGTTATTGTGGAAAAGATGTTTAAGACATTTGACCCCTATGACTTTAAAAGAAGGTCAAAGTCATTTATTTTTTCACAGCTTTGATAGTCAATCATCTAAGCACCAGACATATTAAATATTAATATATATAATTCATATTAAAAATTCTAGACCTCAAAGAAGAGTGTGAAAGCTTACTAAAAATACCATGTTTGAACTTTTAACCTGTTCCAAAAACTGTAAATTGAGGCATCACACAATACTACTTCTACTACCATTGATAGCAATTAATAGCAGAAAGCTATTGACCAAATATCATTGCATTGGGTCTCTTGGTTATTGCAGAGGAGTTGTTCAAAGATTTTAAGACACTTGACCCCATTGACCTTGAAAAGTCATTCATTTTCACAACTTTTTTATGACCAATCATTGAAGAAGCATGTTACATAACTAATTTCAAGGCTCTTAATTTTGTAGAACTTGAAAAGAAATTTGTTTAAAGTTTGTTACCCAAAATAGCATTTCTGAACTTTGACCCCGACCTAAAACTGAAAGTTGATGTTTGACACAAAAAACTCCCCGAAAACTAAGATATATGTTTTCCTGTTCATTTACAAAACATATCCAATACTGAATGCAGCTATTGAGCTGTTAATGAGTTCAGCAATTCTGGTATAAAAAGAAAATGACTTCATTGTGGCCATTTCAATTTTTTAATTAAGTTAAGAAGACATCTACATGTGGAATGACATCTAGGGAGAACTTTGTATTATGTTTAAAAGGAAACATTTTCTTTAGACATTGGAGAAAAACAGTTTTTCATTATATTGTCAGCATCTTACAAAGATCAAAGGAAAAATTCCAAATGACTTACATCCTTAACGGTAAATAGTAAAGAAAAAAATTGAGACATCAAATTCATCGGATTTACATTCTATATAAAATAATGCAAGATATTTTCTTAAAGATGAAAAATAAAAAAAAGAAAAGAAAAAATGTTGACATTTGACCCAACATGACCTTTATTATTTGACCTTTTCTGTGATATATGTATCATGTGTGTATATAAATCATGAACACCCGTAATCGATACAAAACACTCTAGCTTATTATACTGATGAACTCTAACGAGAAGAAATCTCATTTATCAACAATTGAGTCAAAAAGATAAAAGGAATTGAGCTGTCTTAGTCACTGAAGTTAAAATGTCTGTTTCAAATTATTGTGTTTACAGAACTATAAATAATATTGATGATTCGTTAGAGCTGCCTTATCCTGGTATCTAAAGGCTTGTTAGACGGTTACACTTCATAAGTTATGTAAATGGAATATTATTTAAATATTTATGAATTTTCAGCAGGATACATGTCTTTATAGGGTATGAAAATACAGATATTTAGCTTATGTTCTTGAGTTTTGATCAAATTTTTTAATACACAAAATGGAACTTTGTGAAAGATGACATTCATTCATTCATTCATTCATTCATTCATTCATTCATTCATTCATTCATTCTTTCTTTCTTTCTTTCTTTCTTTCTTTCTTTCTTTCTTTCTTTCTTTCTCAGCTTTGTTTGTTTGTTTATCACTCTATGAACAGCCAGGGTTGATTTGACTTGCGTGCCCTTGGTTACTTAAAACCAATATAATTATGAGGAGGCCCATTGCATGTTTTTCAGAAGAATTAGATTAATTGCCAAATGATACAATCACAACTGTACAGGACAGGCCTTGGTCATAGCTTTCTGAGAAACAATATCCACGCCAAGCAGGGAAGTCCACTTTGGTCAACCCCTTTCCCAGATCACGGGAGAGTACACATGACTGTTTATTAAGGCGCTGTACAGCATCAGTGTTTGTAAATACAATATCATTAATTTATGATAGGCTGAATTATAATCACTGGATATCTGGAAAATTATCAGTATTTATGTAAATTAATGATGTGGCTGTGATATATTGATTATCAACTTGTCAGGTCATGCTTTTGTGAGCGATCAGCTTTTTTAAAATTGAATCTAAACACAATAAATATTCATGAGTTCATCTGTATTTTATTATTGTTTGTATATTATTGACTGAATTGACACATATATCTGTACTGTTCCCCATTACTGCTCTTTAATGGAGTTGTACTAGGTCTATCTGATGAAACAGTAATAAGCCTGTGTTTATTAAAAAACCGATGCCTGTCAATAAGCCAACCCACATCTATGGATGTTTTGGTAGAAATGCATTTTGCTGACAGCATACCTTTTTAGAATGTCATATGTAGATTGATTGTTTTTGTATTTCAAGCTTCCAATGTCAAAGTGTTAGATGTATATTTCAGGTTTTAGCGCGTTACACACAGTGATCAATGTGTTGGATTTATGTTTCAGGTTTTAGTGTTGGGTTTATGTTACAGGTTTTAGTTTGACTTATATGTTACATGTTTTAGTGTGACTTATGTTACAGGTTTTAGTGTTGGGTTTATGTTTCAGGTTTTAGTGTTGGATTTATGTCACAGGTTTTAGTGTGACTTATGTTACAGGTTTTAGTGTGACTTATGTTACAGGTTTTAGTGTTGGGTTTATGTTTCAGGTTTTAGTGTTGGATTTATGTTACAGGTTTTAGTGTGACTTATGTTACAGGTTTTAGTGTTGGGTTTATGTTTCAGGTTTTAGTGTTGGATTTATGTCACAGGTTTTAGTGTGACTTATATGTCACAGGTTTTAGTGTGACTTATGCTACAGGTTTTAGTGTTGGGTTTATGTTTCAGGTTTTAGTGTTGGATTTATGTCACAGGTTTTAGTGTGACTTATGTTACAGGTTTTTGTGTTGGGTTTATGTTTCAGGTTTTAGTGTTGGATTTATGTTACAGGTTTTAGTGTGACTTATGTTACAGGTTTTAGTGTTGGATTTATGTTACAGGTTTTAGTTTGACTTATATGTTACATGTTTTAGTGTGACTTATGTTACAGGTTTTAGTGTTGGGTTTATGTTTCAGGTTTTAGTGTTGGATTTATGTCACAGGTTTTAGTGTGACTTATGTTACAGGTTTTAGTGTGACTTATGTTACAGGTTTTAGTGTTGGGTTTATGTTTCAAGTTTTAGTGTGGATTTATGTCACAGGTTTTAGTGTGACTTATGTTACAGGTTTTAGTGTTGGGTTTATGTTTCAGGTTTTAGTGTTGGATTTATGTTTCAGGTTTTGTTGTTGGATTTATGTCACAGGTTTTAGTGTGACTTATGTTACAGGTTTTAGTGTGACTTATGTTACAGGTTTTAGTGTTGGGTTTATGTTTCAGGTTTTAGTGTTGGATTTATGTTTCAGGTTTTAGTTTGACTTATTTGTTACAGGTTTTAGTGTGACTTATGTTACAGGTTTTTGTGTTGGGTTTATGTTTCAGGTTTTAGTGTTGGATTTATGTCACAGGTTTTAGTGTGATTTATGTCACAGGTTTTAGTGTGACTTATGTTACAGGTTTTAGTGTGACTTATGTTACAGGTTTTAGTGTTGGGTTTATGTTTCAGGTTTTAGTGTGACTTATGTTACAGGTTTTAGTGTGACTTATGTTACAGGTTTTAGTGTTGGATTTATGTTTCAGGTTTTAGTTTGACTTATATGTTACAGGTTTTAGTGTGACTTATGTTACAGGTTTTAGTGTTGGGTTTATGTTTCAGGTTTTAGTGTTGGATTTATGTTTCAGGTTTTAGTTTGACTTATTTGTTACAGGTTTTAGTGTGACTTATGTTACAGGTTTTTGTGTTGGGTTTATGTTTCAGGTTTTAGTGTTGGATTTATGTCACAGGTTTTAGTGTGACTTATGTTACAGGTTTTAGTGTTGGATTTATGTCACAGGTTTTAGTGTGACTTATGTTACAGGTTTTAGTGTTGGATTTATGTTTCAGGTTTTAGTGTTGGGTTTATGTTTCAGGTTTTAGTGTTGGATTTATGTTACAGGTTTTAGTTTGACTTATGTTACAGGTTTTAGTGTGACTTATGTTACAGGTTTTAGTGTTGGGTTTATGTTTCAGGTTTTAGTGTTGGATTTATGTTTCAGGTTTTAGTGTTGGATTTATGTTTCAGGTTTTAGTGTGACTTATGTTACAGGTTTTAGTGTTGGGTTTATGTTTCAGGTTTTAGCACGTTACACACCGTCATCAATGTGTTGGGTTTATGTTTCAGGTTTTAGCACGTTACACACTGTCATCAATGTGTTTGGTTTATGTTTCAGGTTTTAGTGCGTTACACACCGTCATCAATGTGTTGGGTGTCTACATTATACTACAGACTTGTGCTGGCACTAGACTGTCGCTGTGGCTTGCCATCATATTCAACAACGTACGTATGGTAAACTAATGAATAAACAATAAGGATTTGATCATAAATAAAGCAAAGCCGAACAAATAATTATCAAATCACAAATGCTTCTAATGAATATTAAACAGTTGATTTATCTAAAGCTGATGAATATTCAACACTGTAGTTACATCCAATTGATTGAAAAAGGGCTTCAGCAGATATTCTGGGAATCTATCACATGTTAATTTTGGGTAGATTTGATTAAATTTGAGGCAACTAATCTTAGATATAGCAACATCTCCCAGGTTTTACCATATCATTCATTCTTTCATGTATGCATTTATAGCAGATGCAGATTACACAAAATCTTGTAATTCTGTGAAATGCAATAAGCACACAGTTTTCATGCAGTAATCCAAAGTGCACCCATGCTGCAGACTTTAATATTGATAAAGTGGCCCTAATGTTTTTTACTGTACAGCCATTTCAACATTTCTTTGTAGTGTAATTTGTAAAATAGATGGTAATTGGTTGGGCTTATAACAGGATGCCAGAGGCAATTATATTACTTCTTACTCAGGGTCAGGTGGTGGGCTTATTACAGGACTCCAGGGACCAACCCGTATATTACTCCTTACTCAGAGTCTGGTGGTGGGCTTATTACAGGACTCCAGGGACCAACCCGTATATTACTCCTTATTCAGTGACAGGTGGTGGGCTTATTACAGGACACCAGGGACAAACCTGTAGATTACTCCTTACTCAGAGTCTGGTGGTGGGCTTATTACAGGACTCCAGGGACCAACCCGTATATTACTCCTTATTCAATATCAGGTGGTGGGCTTATTACAGGACACCAGGGACAAACCTGTAGATTACTCCTTACTCAGAGTCTGGTGGTGGGCATTTGTTTATAACCTTACTGAACAGTAATATATATAAAGAGCAAGCTTATTACTAGACATTGCTTTAATGCGAGATTGATATGAAATTATAGAATTTTATCTACTGATACTGTTTTGTTGTAGGTCTACCTTATTTCGGGATATTACATCCTTGACAATTATGAAGATATATGTTGGACCACACCCCTTTGTGTCCTGACTCTTAAGCTGACTGGTCTCACCTTTGATCTCTATGATGCACAGAAAAAGGAGGTAAGTATAATCATTCAAATTGACTTCTTTTCTGAAAGCAAGTTCAAATTTACTTTAAACATGTAATTTCTCTAGAAAATTTGCACACCTCAGTTGGGTTTTTTTTTTACATTTTTTTTAATGGTACCTGAACTTCTTTGAGTTCTACCAAAGTTTAATACTGTAACAGCTGTTTGGAATATAGAATATGCTATTGTTTTTGGATTTACATTCAACTATTCAAACTTGACATGAAAATGAACGGAATTTGAAACTCGTATATTTACATAACTAGATTCCTGTAAGCCATAACCTATGTGTTGTAATAATGATATGAGATGTTGTCCTGTTGTGTTTTTTTATCTAGATGATGGTTGACAACCTGTTCGGGTAAATGTGTGAATCTAATCAACGATAACTTTCTCTTTACTACTACAAACCATTGATTTTAATGATCACTGTTAGGAGTGAAGTTTGTCTTTTTCTCAACAGCAACATGATATATGTAAGGCCTAATAGATTTTCTTGCTTTTAGTGAAATGACTACATAGTTCTCTGGTACTTCAAACAACGTATGAAAAGTGAAAAGTTTAAGTGGTACAGGTGTTTTTCTTGGTGAAAGGAAAATCATTTCCATTTTATTTAGGAAAGTCCCTAAATTTAACCATGAGTAATGATAATATTTTCCATTATTGCTGTTGTTTCCATATGAGCAATACAGGCCTTCTGGGCCTCTTGTTTGTATACATCAACATAATTTAGTTGTACAATGTACCTTGGACTGATAGTTTTAACTAATGTGTTCAACTGCTGTGATTAACATTAAATCTGTACTATTTCCTCCAACACACACAGTCCCCTAACTTTGACCTGTTTTATGGGGAGGGGGTGGGGTGTTATATGAATGGACCAACACTCACAGTCCCCTAACTTTGACATGTTTTAGGGGGAGGGGGTGGGGTGTTATATGAATGGACCAACACACACAGTCCTCTAACATTTACATGCTGAATTGGGAGTGGGTGAGGTGTTATATGAATGGACCAACACACACAGTTCCCTAACTTTGACATGTTTTAGGGGGAGGGGGTGTTATATGAATGGACCAATACACACAGTCCCTTAACTTTGAGTGACATATTTTAAGGGGATCCTTCATGAGTGGACCAACACACAGAGTCCTCTAACTTTGAGTGACAGATTTTAAGTGAGTCCTATATGAAAGGACCAACACAGAGTCCCCTTACTTTGAGTGGCACATTTTAAGGGGGCCTTTTATGAGTGGACCAGTACACACAGTCCCCTACCTTTGAGAGATAGATTTTAAGGAGTCCTTATGAATGGACCAACACACAGAGTCGCCTAACTTTGATTGACAGATTTTAAGTGAGTCCTATATGAAAGGACCAACACAGAGTCCCCTTACTTTGAGTGGCACATTTTAAGGGGGTCTTTTATGAGTGGACCAACACACACAGTCCCCTACCTTTGAGAGATAGATTTTAAGGGGTCCTTATGAATGGAACAACACACAGAGTTCCCTTACTTTGAGTGACAGATTTTAAGTTAGTCCTGTATGAGAGGACCAATACATGGTCCCCTAAATTTGGGGTCCTTTATGAGTGAACCATTAACACACAAAGTCCCAATACTTTTAGTGACAGATTTTAAGAGGGTCCCATGGGCATAATAGATATGATTGAGTGATAAAAAGAAAACTACTTTTGTTTGAAGTCTTTAACACTTCGGTATGTATTTATTCATATCTGTGTGAGCATCTTTATCGCTTTTTAGTGATTTTGAAGCAATTGTTAATACATTTATGTATGGAGTTGGTGAAGTTGGTGGGGGTGAGGGCTATACTGGAACTAGAATCTGTCTGGGTGTCTGTTGCTTGCAGATAATGTTTGGAGAACTTCTAAACCAATGAACCAGTTCCAATGAAAATTTTTATCAATATAAAGGATCACATATAGATGTGCATGATTTTTATTCTGAAATTTTGGTTGTCAAGGTAACTGGTAAATGTAAACAGATTTTCTTTTCTTTCTAAACAACCATGTTTCCCTTGACACTGCCTCTTCTTTTTTACCTGTAAAGAAGCAATTTGCCCTGTTATGAAGACTTTGGGTTCTGTCCCAGAGTTAAACTAGAGTCTTTGAAAGTGATAATTTGTCCTTGCTTTAGGCTCAGCAGGTAGTGTAATTATAGGTTTGCCTGTTGTCAATATAATGTGACAGTTTGGAATGTGCAACTTGGGGCCTTTGATCGTAATGTTCAGTGTGTTAGCACTATAAAATTGGCTTTATTTCCACTGTATCACAAGGAGGCTTACACAAATTAACATACGCATCCTCTCTAACACACATGCACTCAAGACATGCTCTCACTTGGCATGCACTGAGAGACCACATTTGAAAGGACACATAAAATCATACTAAACATGTAAGAAAGTGGACGTTTAAGTGCTGATACACTTGGGTCAGGTACAATACAATTATTTATGTGAGTTATCTCCCCATAAATATTCCTGACATCAGTCCCTTCTTTGTGCCAATCTGCTTATCTGTCACTCAACCAAACTGTCAATCTGTCAAAGTTTTCTTGACAAAAGTTCAAAAGTCCTTGACATCTATCTCTCAATACCTTCTTTCAATGTCAAGGTCATACACTCATCGTCAAGGTTATGCCTACACTTTCTTGCCCTAATTTGCCTGACTAGGTTTGCTGTCAAATTTCTTACAATCTAACTTACCCATACTAGATATTTCTTTACGCTGTAGCCCTGTCTGCTTGTTTGCACAAAACTTAGATACATTCACCTTACACCAAACATTCAATACACTGTTAGTTTCAAGATGTCCATGTTTGTTTATGTACTGTTTACAATTTGGAATTTGCTTAATTTGTTTTATGAGGAACTGAATCTATCTATGAGTTTATGACAGGTTAGCCAAGTCAACATGACTTCGTGAAAAGCATTTTACTGTGTTTGTCTTAAGTATGTAGCTCCTTATTAAAATGAAATACCCTTATTATGACTGTCATTTGGTGAATGTTTTTCTGGAGTGGTCATGCAATCACAGACTGGTGTCCATTTTGATTTGTTGATCAATAAGTTATTGATTACTATTTCTCTGACATAGAATCAGGAAGTTTTTTTCAAGGCGGTGGATTTCTTCCAGACATTAAAAATCAAGAAATTTAATATTCAGCATTCAATTTCACCTGGAAAATGAAAATCTGGCAACATTATTTGGTACATTATATGGTGAATGAAAATTGGGCAACATTGTTCGGTCAATGAAAAGAGACAAATATTTTTCAAGTTTTGTATTTCAATAGTGCTGGTTATAAATAGAGACAACTAAACACTTGTTGAGTAAAGATAGTTTTCATGTGTGTGTGTTTATTGGTTTTCAAGGAGAAGTTGTCTGCTGAACAGAAAGCTACAATAATAAAAGAGCCCCCGTCTTTCCTAGCCATGCTAGGCCATGCTTTTTTCTTTGGAGGATTTCTTGCAGGACCACAGGTAAGTCACAAACATGGCCTGTAAAGGTGAAAACCTACTAATACAGGTAAATCTGTTTCTGAAAGATCACCTCTGCATAACAAATGTTTGTCTCTGAAGGCCACATCTACTTAATACCTGTCTATGAAGGCCAAATTCATTTAATAAATACCTGTCTATGAAGGCTAAATTTATTTAATAGATACCTGTCTATGAAGGCCACATCTATTTAATTAATACCTGTCTATGAAGGCCAAATTAATTTAATAAATACCTGTCTATGAAGGCTAAATTTATTTAATAGATACCTGTCTATGAAGGCCACATCTATTTAATTAATACCTGTCTATGAAGGTCAAATCTATTTAATAAATACCTGTCTATGAAGGCCACATCTATTTAATAAATACCTGTCTATGAAGGTCAAATCTATTTAATAAATACCTGTCTATGAAGGCCACATCTATTTAATAAATGCCTGTCTATGAAGGCCACATCTATTTAATAAATGCCTGTCTATGAAGGCTACATCTATTTAATAAATACCTGTCTATGAAGGCCACATCTATTTAATAAATACCTGCCTATGAAGGCCACATCTATTAAATAAATACCTGCCTATGAAGGCCACATCTATTTAATAAATACTTGCCTATGAAGGCCATATCTATTTAATAAATGCCTGTCTATGAAGGCCACATCTATTTAATAAATACCTGTCTATGAAGGCCACAACTATTTAATAAATGCCTGTCTATGAAGGTCACATCTATTTAATAAATACCTGTCTATGAAGGCCACATCTATGTAATAAATACCTGTCTATGAAGGCCACATCTATTAAATAAATGCCTGCCTATGAAGGCCACATCTATTTAATAAATGCCTGTCTATGAAGGCCACATCTATTTGATAAATGCCTGTCTATGAAGGCCACATCTATTTAATAAATGCCTGTCTATGAAGGTCACATCTATTTAATAAATACCTGTCTATGAAGGCTACATCTATGTAATAAATACCTGTCTATGACAGCCTCCTTTAAATAACAATATCCATCTGTAAAGGCCATTTTTCTATAACAAATACCTGTCTGTTACCTCTTTATTGCATATCCTGTCTATAAGGGTCACCTCTTTATTGCATATCCTGTCTATAATGGTCACCTCTTTATTGTATATCCTGTCTATAATGGTCGCCTCTTTGTTGCATATCCTGTCTATAATGGTCACCTCTTTATTGCATATCCTGTCTATAATGGTCACCTCTTTATTGCATATCCTGTCTATAAGGGTCACCTCTTTATTATATATCCTGTCTATAATGGTCACCTCTTTATTGCATATCTTGTCTATAAATGTCAATATATAGGAAAAACCTGTCTATAAGGTCACTTAAGAAAGCAGAAAAGATAGGTTTTTGTAAATAAGAAGTGGCCATTATAGACAGGTTTTTGCTATTTATAACTATGACTTTTAAGGAGGGTATAAATGTTCTAGGTTCAATATCTCTACCACAAGCCTGTATTGTACAAAAAACACATCAATTGATATCACCTTCCAGTATCAATAAACAATTAATTACAGCCTAGTGGGCTAATGAACTAGACTACAATGTACAGTGATAATTAATTTCAGCCTAGTGGGCTAATGAACTAGACTACAATGTACAGTGATAATTAATTTCAGCCTAGTGGGCTAATGAACTAGACTACAATGTACAGTGATAATTAACTACAGCCTAGTGGACTAATGAACTAGACTACAATGTACAGTGATAATTAATTACAGCCTAGTGGACTAATGAACTAGACTACAATGTACAGTGATAATTAATTTCAGCCTAGTGGGCTAATGAACTAGACTACAATGTACAGTGATAATTAATTACAGCCTAGTGGACTAATGAACTAGACTACAATGTACAGTGATAATTAATTTCAGCCTAGTGGACTAATGAACTAGACTACAATGTACAGTGATAATTAATTTCAGCCTAGTGGACTAATGAACTAGACTACAATGTACAGTGATAATTAATTTCAGCCTAGTGGGCTAATGAACTAGACTACAATGTACAGTGATAATTAATTTCAGCCTAGTGGACTAATGAACTAGACTACAATGTACAGTGATAATTAATTACAGCCTAGTGGGCTTATGAACTAGACTACAATATACAGTGATAATTAATTACAGCCTAGTGGGCTTATGAACTAGACTACAATATACAGTGATAATTAATTACAGCCTAGTGGACTTATGAATTAGACTACGATATACAGTGATCTCATCTTTTTAGACTTGTCATTGATGTTGATGAGGCCTCATGTATTACGTAGGCGACTCAGAAAACTCAAAATTGGCCAAATACCAAGTTATTGATAAAGAGGTGTATTAACCTAATCATTTGGTAAATGATATTTTCAATGCTTGAAACTTGAGACTTAAGGATTTATGATTTATGCGTTTATATGTATGTTTACAGTTTAGTATGAAGCGATACCTGTCATTTACAAGTGGAACACTACAAGAAAAGGAGTCCAAGGATCCTCCAGACAGGTTAGTTACACTGAGATCTTATTGTAGGTTCCTAGTATCCTCCAGACAGGTTAGTTACACTGAGATCTTATTGTAGGTTCCTAGTATCCTCCAGACAGGTTAGTTACACTGAGATCTTACTGTAGGTTCCTAGTATCCTCCAGACAGGTTAGTTACACTGAGATCTTGTTGTAGGTTCCTAGTATCCTCCAGACAGGTAAGTATATTTTCAGTGTTATACCAGGACTAAAGAGACTAGGTCTGGGTGTTGTGTATATTTTCAGTGTAATACAAGGACTAAAGAGACTAGGTCTGGGTGTTGTGTATATTTTCAGTGTTATACCAGGACTAAAGAGACAAGGTCTGGGTGTTGTGTATATTTTCAGTGTTGCTAAAGAGACTAGGTCTGAGTGTTGTGTATATTTTCAGTGTTATACCAGGACTAAAGAGACTAGGTCTGGGTGTTGTGTATATTTTCAGTGTTATACCAGGACTAAAGAGACTAGGTCTGGGTGTTGTGTATATTTTCAGTGTTATACCAGGACTAAAGAGACTAGGTCTGGGTGTTGTGTATATTTTCAGTGTTATACCAGGACTAAAGAGACTAGGTCTGGGTGTTGTGTATATTTTCAGTGTTATACCAGGACTAAAGAGACTAGGTCTGGGTGTTGTGTATATTTTCAGTGTTATACCAGGACTAAAGAGACTAAGTCTGGGTGTTGTGTATATTTTCAGTGTTACTAAAGAGACTAGGTCTGGGTGTTGTGTATATTTTCAGTGTTATACCAGGACTAGGTCTGGGTGTTGTGTAAGAGAGACTAGGTCTGGGTGTTGTGTATTTTCAGTGTTATACCAGAGAGACTAGGTCTGGGTGTTGTGTATATTTTCAGTGTTATACCAGGACTAAAGAGACTAGGTCTGGGTGTTGTGTATATTTTCAGTGTTATACCAGGACTAAAGAGACTAGGTCTGGGTGTTGTGTATATTTTCAGTGTTATACCAGGACTAAAGAGACTAAAGAGACTAGGTCTGGGTGTTGTGTATATTTTCAGTGTTATACCAGGACTAAAGAGACTAGGTCTGGGTGTTGTGTATATTTTCAGTGTTATACCAGGACTAAAGAGACTAGGTCTGGGTGTTGTGTATATTTTCAGTGTTATACCAGGACTAAAGAGACTAGGTCTGGGTGTTGTGTATATTTTCAGTGTTATACCAGGACTAAAGAGACTAGGTCTGGGTGTTGTGTATATTTTCAGTGTTACTAAAGAGACTAGGTCTGGGTGTTGTGTATATTTTCAGTGTTACTAAAGAGACTAGGTCTGGGTGTTGTGTATATTTTCAGTGTTATACCAGGACTGTTATACCAGGACTAAAGAGACTAGGTCTGGGTGTTGTGTATATTTTCAGTGTTATACCAGGACTAAAGAGACTAGGTCTGGGTGTTGTGTATATTTTCAGTGTTATACCAGGACTAAAGAGACATGGTCTGGGTGTGGTGTATATTTTCAGTGTTATACCAGGACTAAAGAGACTAGGTCTGGGTGTTGTGTATATTTTCAAGAGACTAGGTCTGGGTGTTGTGTATATTTTCAGTGTTACTAAAGAGACTAGGTCTGAGTGTTGTGTATATTTTCAGTGTTACTAAAGAGACTAGGTCTGGGTGTTGTGTATATTTTCAGTGTTATACCAGGACTAAAGAGACTAGGTCTGGGTGTTGTGTATATTTTCAGTGTTATACCAGGACTAAAGAGACTAGGTCTGGGTGTTGTGTATATTTTCAGTGTTATACCAGGACTAAAGAGACTAGGTCTGGGTGTTGTGTATATTTTCAGTGTTATACCAGGACTAAAGAGACTAGGTCTGGGTGTTGTGTATATTTTCAGTGTTATACCAGGACTAAAGAGACTAGGTCTGGGTGTTGTGTATATTTTCAGTGTTAAAAGAGACTAGGTCTGGGTGTTGTGTATATTTTCAGTGTTATACCAGGACTAAAGAGACTAGGTCTGGGTGTTGTGTATATTTTCAGTGTTATACCAGGACTAAAGAGACTAGGTCTGGGTGTTGTGTATATTTTCAGTGTTATACCAGGACTAAAGAGACTAGGTCTGGGTGTTGTGTATATTTTCAGTGTTATACCAGGACTAAAGAGACAAGGTCTGGGTGTTGTGTATATTTTCAGTGTTATACCAGGACTAAAGAGACATGGTCTGGGTGTTGTGTATATTTTCAGTGTTACTAAAGAGACTAGGTCTGGGTGTTGTGTATATTTTCAGTGTTATACCAGGACTAAAGAGACTAGGTCTGGGTGTTGTGTATATTTTCAGTGTTATACCAGGACTAAAGAGACTAGGTCTGGGTGTTGTGTATATTTTCAGTGTTATACCAGGACTAAAGAGACTAGGTCTGGGTGTTGTGTATATTTTCAGTGTTACTAAAGAGACTAGGTCTGGGTGTTGTGTATATTTTCAGTGTTATACCAGGACTAAAGAGACTAGGTCTGGGTGTTGTGTATATTTTCAGTGTTATACCAGGACTAAAGAGACTAGGTCTGGGTGTTGTGTATATTTTCAGTGTTACTAAAGAGACTAGGTCTGGGTGTTGTGTATATTTTCAGTGTTATACCAGGACTAAAGAGACTAGGTCTGGGTGTTGTGTATATTTTCAGTGTTATACCAGGACTAAAGAGACTAGGTCTGGGTGTTGTGTATATTTTCAGTGTTATACCAGGACTAAAGAGACTAGGTCTGGGTGTTGTGTATATTTTCAGTGTTATACCAGGACTAAAGAGACTAGGTCTGGGTGTTGTGTATATTTTCAGTGTTATACCAGGACTAAAGAGACTAAAGAGACTAGGTCTGAGTGTTGTGTATATTTTCAGTGTTATACCAGGACTAAAGAGACTAGGTCTGGGTGTTGTGTATATTTTCAGTGTTACTAAAGAGACTAGGTCTGGGTGTTTTGTATATTTTCAGTGTTATACCAGGACTAAAGAGACTAGGTCTGGGTGTTGTGTATATTTTCAGTGTTATACCAGGACTAAAGAGACTAGGTCTGGGTGTTGTGTATATTTTCAGTGTTATACCAGGACTAAAGAGACTAGGTCTGGGTGTTGTGTATATTTTCAGTGTTATACCAGGACTAAAGAGACTAGGTCTGGGTGTTGTGTATATTTTCAGTGTTATACCAGGACTAAAGAGACTAGGTCTGGGTGTTGTGTATATTTTCAGTGTTATACCAGGACTAAAGAGACTAGGTCTGGGTGTTGTGTATATTTTCAGTGTTATAAGGACTAAAGAGACTAGGTCTGGGTGTTGTGTATATTTTCAGTGTTATGTATAGAGACTTTTTTCAGTGTTATACCAGGACTAAAGAGACTAGGTCTGGGTGTTGTGTATATTTTCAGTGTTATACCAGGACTAAAGAGACTAGGTCTGGGTGTTGTGTATATTTTCAGTGTTATACCAGGACTAAAGAGACTAGGTCTGGCTAGCAAAGTTTTTCTATATAACACTGTGGGGACGAGTTATCTTAAACAAATATATTGGAAGTTGGCTCATCGCAGTAAGTATCTACGTTCTTTAGCCATTCTTATAGCCATCTACTTTGGCCGAAGTCCTCTACCCTAGAGTCCTCTAGCAAATTACTGGTCATGTCCCTTTGTCATGTCCTGTACTGGTCAATTACTGGTCAAGTCTACTTGTCTTGACTTATTGGTCAAGTCTTTTGCCCAAAGAACTTTAGACAAGTCCCTTTGTCATTTTCTATACTTGTCAAATCCTGCAGTCAATTATAGGTCAAGTCTCTTTTGCCAGTTCTGTACCGTTCGAGTTCTCTTGCCAGTTACTGGTCAAAACCGCTTGTCATGTCCAGAACTTTTCAATCCTCTTGTCAGTTTTTGGTAAAGTCTCCAAATCCTTTACTGACCAAGTCCTCTGGCTGAGTCCTATTCTAATGAGGCCCTCCAGCTCTGTAATTTTATCACTATGACATTCAATAGAACAGAATTTTACCTAATATATCTTTGATATTTGTTATGTCATGAAGCAGCATTGGTCAGAATCAAAGGGTGATTCACAGGATTACAGGTCAAGGTCACCAGGCTAGCATTCAGGATCAAATTATGAATCTATTTATTATTGAATATTCTGTTGTGACATTTTAAAGCGAAGCTGATCAAAAGGAAACAGGGAAAATGCATGCTGAAAGTTCAAGGTCAGAGGTCAAGTTCCTAGTCATGTATCTTGAGCTAAGGATGACTGGAAGTTAGTAACAAGTAGTCACATGATCTATGTCAGTCAAGGTTATGGTCAAGGTCAAGTTTTTCACTCTTGGTTATAGTTAATATTTCATGTTGAGCAACAAATATTGTTGGATTAACAAAAACAGTTTTCTAAGTTTACTGTGGATGTTTTTAGGAAGGAACATGTATACTGGTGGGCATATCCTATAACGGCAAGGACATCAACGGCAACATAGAATGGAACGGAGTGTGTAACGTACAACTAAGGAAGCTGGAGGAAGGCTATCGACTTCGTGACTACATACAATCCTTTAACTACAATACCAACCAGTGGATGGCAAAGTAGGTTAAAGGTCATAGTTCATGGGTCAATCAAAACACTTCATTTGATGGGTACTGTGTTTTTGAGAAAATAAATGCAATCTGCAAGTGAAAAAATAAACTTTAATTTACATCAATTGTAAATCAAGTTTTTCCAACTTACATTAATCACTCTGGTTGGCCAAAATGGAAACTTCAGAGGGGTCTTACTGTGGGAGGGGTACTCGGGAGGAAAAGCCATGTGGTTGGGCAGGTGACCCCATACCTTTTCACATCCATTCTGGGAATCCAACCTTGGACCTAAGGTGAAAGGCAAGTGTGTTATCAATGTGTCACCCAATCACCTGACCACTGCGCGATTACAGATACTCAAAAGCTTATTAACCTGTTCACAACATTAGAGAAATTCTCACTTAAAATCTCTTGAGGCGTAAATCTCAGAATCGTCAGTGAAAGAAAACAAGAATCCAAGGAGGAAAAAGTGAAGATTTCAGCAATATTTCCCTTAGATTCTTAAAATCCTGCTGGTGGGGGAGGAAGGGAGGAGAAAGGGGGGTTCTGGTAGGAGCAGATATATCTATTACATATAATATGGAATTAAGACTTATCCTTGTTTGTGTTATAATACAATATATATAAACTTTTCATATCTCTCTTTTCAGATATGTGTTTAAAAGATTACGATTCCTAGGAAACAAATTCATATCTCAAGCTGTCACTTTATTTTACCTGGCGATGTGGCATGGCACAAGATCCGGATACTATATGAACTTTGCATTAGAATTTATAATGATAAATTGTGAAAATCAGGTAAATTTTTGTCCTACAGTTACATCTTCACTGCTGAAGAAAAGAAAAACGATACAAAAATTGTTGGAAATCATTAGAGTTGAAAGTACTGTAACCTGTTAATTTTTGAAATTTTCACAAATCTTGCAAGTATTTTTTGTTGTCTTTTGAATTTAACATTTTTGTTGCAATTCATTTTCGTGACTGTCCTTAACGGATACATCATGAAAATTAATTTCTTACAAATATTATTAAGTTAGCAGTAAGCTTTAGTTAAAACTATTGAAAATTTGAACCATGAAAAAAGAAGAAAAAAAAAGAAAAAATCAAAAGACATTTTTTGACATGTTTTTTCATGAATGGAATCATAGAGATGAGGAGAGTTTGATTAAGGTCTATGTCCTTAACACCTGTAGAAATTTATCATCCAATTTTTTGGTAGAAGAAGCATCAACAGAATTTGATATTTTTCAGGTGATAGGATTAGTTCCAAAGATTCCAGCCCTGGAGAAGTTTAATAATACATCAATACTGCAGCCAGTGTTGTATATCTTCAAGAAGCTGGTAACGACGTTCTGTATGGGATACGCCCTGCTTAGTTTTGTGCTTTTAAATTTTACTGATTATATGAAAGTAAGTTGTATGACTAGTCACTCTGATGAAATCTGAGTTTGAATCTGATGATACGAGAAAGTGGTTTTTTAATATTTGCGGAATATAATTAATAAAATGGTTCCCCATGATTTATGTGATTTCAGCTTTTAAGACATGTGAGGTTGGAATTGAAGTTTAAGCAGGATTTGTCATGTGATTTGACTTTAACTATTCTTTACTGTTTTTACAGGTTTACAGTCAACTGTATTTCGTTGGTCATGTTTTTTTCCTGGCCTGGCCACTACTAAATATTCTTATAACGTCTGTGTTTGTCAGGCGCAAATCTTCATCAAATGGACATTTGCCAGAAAAGTAAGTTTGCTGTTTACAACAGATTTTAACACGTCTTACAATATGGACAGATTGACAGATATAGTGATGGACAGATGGAAGGACAGACAAACACAATTGATGTGCCTATTCCTAGCTACACATATACCTCCTACAGACGGTGGACAGATATATGGACAGACTGACAGATGCAGTGATGGACAGAATGATGGACAGACAAATACAATTGATGTGCCTATTCCTAGCTACACATATACCTCCTACAGACGATGGACAGATATATGGACAGACTGACAGATGCAGTGATGGACAGAACAATGGACAGACAAACACAATTGATGTACCTCTTACAGCCAATGGACAGATATATAGACATACTGACAGATGCAGTGATGGACAGATGGAAGGACAGACAAACACAACCTCTTACAGCCAATGGACAGATGTCTATTTTACTAATTTTTCCCTAACTTGACTTAGAAGTGGTCAAGGTTGGGGTATACAATAATGACATTGTCTTTGTGTCTGTCCGGTATTTTTCCATGCCTACATGTGTCCATAGCTAAAAGCTTGTGTACAGCATATCTTATGAACCCTTGAACAGATCTAGTTTGTATTTACACCATATCATCACCCCGCAAAGGTCACACCTAGAAATGGTCAAAAGATCCCTTTTTCTCCCCCATAGAAATATCCACACTATTGGTGAGGGTAGATATCTGTATCTTGCCAGAGTAAGACAGCCTGCATGCACAGAACATAAACATGTGCTTAACAGGCAGTTGTAACTTGAAGACTTGAGACATGACTGATTGTTGTTGACTGTTTACGATGAGTTTAACATTTTTGTAAGACGGTATCTAATCATCTTTGTTTATAAAAATCAGTTCTAAATACAAGACCATGATTTATCATTATGATTGTCTTTGTATGATGGTTATTTGTCTGATTTTGTTTCCATATTTGTCAGCATATATTTATCTCATTACTCTAGTTCTAGAATGTTGGAGATACTCCCTTAGAATTAATCCCTAGTTTGAGGGTAGAAAAGAAAAATCTCTACCCTCGGAGGAGATTCCTGACGGTCTAACCCTGGGTAAAGCCTCGGGTTTGACGATGAAGAATCTTCTCCTTGGGGAGAGATTTCTCTGTCCTTCCCTCAAGTTAGAGAAAGATCCTCTCAGTCTTCATTTTTTATCTGTTGAAGTATCAATTCTAAAAACATAACATTATTTTTGTCTTCATGTGTAAATAAACCAATAATTTTGGATCTGTGTAATAAATCCTAACAAGTTCAGGATAAGTAGATTTTCTTTGTTGGTACCTCAACCTGTTCGCCCAAACAGTAGGCTTCTTCAGGAAAAAAATTGTAGGATATTTCTACCTCAGAAGTACTTAAAATGTGGCAATACAGATAGGATTGTTCTATATATAGTAACATCATAATTACTGTTAATGATGTCATAACCAATAAGTTGTATGGGATGTCATTTAAAGCTAATTCAAGATAGATAACTCCGTTAAGACAATATCAACACATATCTAAAACAACATAAATATAGATGTTGTCCTACAGAACACAATAATAGCTAGAGAAACAAACTTTTTACATAATGAATTTTGCTTTATAAGTTTGTAGTACCAAATTTCATCCTTTTAGTAGATTGGCTGGTCTTATACAATTGTTTCAATATTTGTCAAAAAGCTGAGTGTGAGTTGTCATGATTGATGGAGGAAACTTACTAAAAACTAAATATTACAGAAGTGATGAAATTTTCTGTTCAAGCTGGCAAAACCAGTCAATGTATCAATGAAGAGGAATCTATTTATCCCAAGCTTGTTGTGATTGATTGCCATCCTTTGTCACTTTACTCCCATTGCCCTGTATATTGATAGGTATTCAAGTCATTAGCCATTATTAGAGTAAAGTTGGCTCTACAATCCTTGTATCCTTGATATCAAAATTTTTTACAACAAGTTATTTTCATGTCGAATACAAAATCTGCTTCTTCTTTTTCAGAAAAGATTCCGGGGTAGAAAAGGTGAAAGAAGAGTGATACCAGAGGGATGAGAGAATACAGACACCTTATATTTGATATGAAATTTTAAATTATTGTGAATGATATATATTTTATCTAAGATTTATAAAACTATCTCCCATAATGGAGAGCATTTGTGATCTATGTTGTTGCTGATAACAGGTGTATTTTTTCTGGTAGTGACTAGATTGTTTGATCTTATGGGGAAATATTGATCAATATAGCCTTAAATGATAGGGTTACATGTTAACCGGGGGTCAGATAATCTAACGTTAAAAACTGAAAATAAAATTAAGACAATATGATATTCTTGTCATGAAAACTATATATTAGGAAAGAATTTTTGCTGAAAAGCTTCAATTTGATAAAAAGAGAGTAAAAAATGTTTGAAATTAGGTTAGGGTTGGTTTTCACTTGCTTTTTGGTGATATCGTTTTGAAAATTTGAAAGCTCATAAATGTCATGTTAAATTGAGATTGATGCCAATCAGCAAGCCAGATATAATAGCCCTTGTAAATGTGTACTGTTGAACCTTGTACAGACCGTATTTATCCTTCAATAAGCCCAGGTCTTGTAATAAGCCCGCCCACTTATTGTTCTATAGAATCAGCAGGTTATTCAGTTGTTGTCTGTAGAGGGACCTCTCCCGAGATCATTCAATACAGACCTAAGGGGTTTCTGTGGGATACGTATGGAAAGTGTACTGATGTGTTGGTTTGTGATTGTGTGTACCAATATGTAAATTGGACCTTTCATATAGTACTGTAGAAATAATCACTCAATGTATTTTGTTACAAATTTTTGCCCGGATTGAAGAGCATGAAAGGTCTTATTGTGGGAGAAAAGTAGCGTACTAGGGGAAAACTGAAAAGTAGAAGACAAGCATGTTACAATGTCTACCATACCACCTATAATATATAGGAGAAATTATCATGTGTTTCGTGCCTTTCCTACCATGTCTCTCCCACTACACCATAAACATTCACCTTCAAGGGAAAGATTTGAATACCTAGATATATATTTTGTCTCCTCTTCTCTGGTAATAAGCCCATGTCTGGTAATAAGCCCAACTATATCCATTTCTGTTTATACATGTACATACTATTTTATCATCCGTATCACTTTGAGTCTGAGATTGACCCGTGCATGGGCTTATTACCGAGTAAATTACAGAAAATCACTATATCTATAAACAATTTATCGTCGTGTAGAATTCTTTGTTAGCCAAGATGGAAGTGAGTGGAGATCTACAAGAGAAAATGTATGTGGTCATGTGACCCAATAATATTGGGCGATTTAACCTCCGCCCCTCTCTGGGGAAAAGGCGATGGCAGTTGTTGTTTTAATAGAGTTTTACTGTTTTTCGGTGCTTGATATTCTTGCCTTAATAAAATTAGGGGAGGGGGAGGGGGGAGGGTGTTGTATGAACTTAGATACCTGATATATATATTTATGTAATATAACGTTCCAATTGTTGTGTTTCCTGAGTGAAATGTTTAGATGAATATTTTCTATGAACTTCAAACATTGTTTTGTTGGTTTCTGGTGCTTACGATTAGATCATATACTGTCATTCCTGCTGACAAACCTTTTTTATACACCAATAAAATCATTGTCTGCTAATAAGCCCAGTCATATGCCATTTTCCTGGTAGAAGCTTTTTCTGACTATGTCAAAAATTGTGTTGTCCTCAGGGCTTTTTGTAGACTTTAGTGATCAATGGATTTGATGTACTGTACTCGTCAGGATCAAATCTTTATAGTGATTTCTCTATTAGTGAGTTGATGGGGCATTCCCACAGAAACGGCATTGATGTGGGTTTGTTACTGTCTTATTGTGAATTGTACAGCTGTCCTGGGTCTGTATTCATTCTCATGCTCAGGTATATCTGTGGCTAATTCAGCTTTATTTAAACACATTTAAATCTTGACATATCAATATAGAAGAAAACCTGAATTTTAAAAATGATATCTCATTTGAAATCATTGGAAAACAAGTCAACTCAGATATCAAATTTGTCACCTAAGTTGTTTGAGTCTAAGTACATAATGTGTACCTGTATTTTGAGCATTAATACAGGCCCTGATATTTATATGTAGGTGCCTTCCACTTCCGTTCTGGACCACATGTACATTAGTTTTAATTACCAGAAGTTAAACAAAATAAGTAGATTTGATAACCACGGATCTACTGATGTAATAGATATATTTTAAAGAAGAAATGTTTTGACTTGTAAGTCTTCAAGGTAATTTTTTCAGTAAGATTGTGTATGAGATGAGGTCACTCTTGTAGATGTGATAAAGTTAGTGTCATGCATCCTCTTGTGATTTCTGATTTGGTGAAATTTCAATGTGTATATGACATCTTTTAATATTAAAGCAGAATTTTCACCAGAATTTATTAAGAAAATTTAACATTCAGGAAAGTACTGATGTTTGCATCCTAATGTGGTGAGAAGCTTTGGCAAGAACATGACATATTCAGGATATTTTTTAACAGATTGCAATTTGAACAGAACTTTTAATATAATGTAAAATATACTGCTACATTTCCATTGTTATCAAAGCTTTTAGAATTTTTAGATTTTGGTTGATTCTAAAAACTATGCAGATGTTTTTAAAGTTTGATTAATTCACCGAGATATAGTTTTCTATTCTGACAATATATTGTGGTATGTTTCTTTGATTAATCTGCTTATTTGTTTTAGAATTTGCATGCATTCAGGATGTATTAAATCGTGGAGGTTACTGTCGTTATATTGAAGTCATGTAATACTGAAATTGTGGAGAAGGGTGCTGCTACATACAGTTACTGACTATCAATGAGGTTAACACATGAATTTATTAACCCAAGATAATAATCTGTATTGACTAATGATTGACTACAGCATCAAGTACTAGAAATAGGATTTTTGTTTAGGTTTATTATACTATAGTGCACACTTTTACCAAAAAATGAGATTAAAAAAGGATATGAATAAACAGTCTTTAGAAATTAGTGGCTACCTGACAACCAAGTCTTGTAGAAATACCTGTAATTAGTGGCTACCTACCTGACAACCAAGTCTTGTAGAAATACTTGTAATTAGTGGCTAACTGACAACCAAGTCTTGTAGAAATACCTGTAATTAGTGGCTACCTACCTGACAACCAAGTCTTGTAGAAATACCTGTAATTAGTGGCTACCTACCTGACAACCAAGTCTTGTAGAAATACCTGTAATTAGTGACTACCTACCTGACAACCAATTCTTGTAGAAATACCTGTAATTAGTGGCTACCTACCTGACAACCAAGTCTTGTAGAAATACCTGTAATTAGTGGCTACATAACAACAAAGATTTGTAGAAACACCTGTATGTATTGGTTACCTGGCAACCAAGTCTTGTACAAATACCTATATTTAGTGATTACTTGTCAACATAATTTTATAAAAAAAAAATACCTGTATGTAGTTGTTACCTGGCAATATTTGTGTACTTACATATGTATGCTGCCTTTGATGTGCTTCTTACAGCATTTTGTATGTGTTTTCTGGTTCTTCCAGATTTGTTTAAGCTATCATGACATACATTCCTGGAAGATTTGGTCCGAAAGATTGAGTCAACTTATGAGCATGTGGTTACTATCAGATGTTTGTCTGCATTGATATATCGGGTTCTTTGTCCAGTTACCTGGAACAATGTGTAACTCATTCTCACTTTGAGTTTCTTTGATTTTCGCGCTCAACTTTGTCTTACTTGTCTGGGTCTGGTTAATTTTGTGTCCATGTCAAATTTTCTCAGATCGTTGCTATATTTGCCTGGATCTTTATCAAATTTTCACAGATCCTTGATATATTTGCCTGGATCTTTATCAAATTTTCACAGATCTTTGCTATATTTGCCTGGATCTTTATAAAATTTTCACAGAACTTTGCTGTTTGCCTGGATCGTTATGATCTTTATAAAATTTTCACAGATCTTTGCTATATTTGCCTAGATCTTTATCAAATTTTCACAGATCTTTGCTAGATTTGCCTGGACTTTATCAAATTTTCACAGATCGTTGCTATATTTGCCTGGATCTTTATAAAATTTTCACAGAACTTTGCTGTTTGCCTGGATCTTTATAAAATTTTCACAGATCTTTGCTATATTTGCCTGGATCTTTATCAAATTTTCACAGATCTTTGCCTAGATCTTTATCAAATTTTCACAGATCTTTGCTAGATTTGCCTGGATCTTTGCCTTATTTATTCTGTTCTTTTTTCTAACTTGTCATTTTTTGCAAGGTTTGATTACCAACATATTCATCTCTTGCCATTTACATACCTTTCTGTAAAACTAAATAATCAAGAGAAGTAATGGTTGATCACTGAATGTACAGGGAACTGATGGTTAGATTAACAGATGATCGAGGACTAGTGAAAAGGACAGGAATTACAAGTGGAGGCAAACATTTTATACCCCTACCCTCAAGACAAGATTCTATTAAAGCATAACATTCCCCCACCCCCCTCCCTTCCCTCCAAAGTTGCCTGTTTAGATATCAGTTCATTTGAAGTAGCCAGCCTTGCCCGAATGTTGTGTCGTCTGTGGTGATTACACCAACTTTCATTATGAATTCCATTTATCCTAAGTCAGTTAATGTTGAAGACTGATGTTTTATATTTCTATTTTAACAATGTTATTTTAATTATCTTTGAAGATGTGTACATGTATTTGTCAAAATCTTTGAGAAATGGGTATGTGTTTTTTTTGTTATTGTTAGGTATAAACACACTTTAATATTGATATAATTTTAGCCAGGGCTTATGTAGCGTAACCTTTTAAGTATACACCAACCCTATGTTAATCAGTACTTGTGTGCTGTGATATTCTGATGTAAATTTGATTTATAGATTTTTTTTTAGTAAATTCCATATTTATCCAGCAATAAGCCCAGGATGCCAACACATCTGACTCAGTCAGGGAGTGGGCTTATTAAAAGACCACAGAACATCAACATATCTCACCAAAAGTCAGGGGTAGATTTAAATAAATATTGGTGGGCTTATTACTGGGCACAGGGTTATTGCTGGTTTATGGTAGTATCGGGTTTATGGCCTGTTGTATATTATAAATACAATATATCTTATAAGTATATTTTGATGTATGTAATATGGGTCATCATCACCACATGTATATATATATGAGTACCTCAGTGAAGACATCTTATATATGGGTTACATAGAATATAAATTATCCATCAATGATGTATTCTTTTATAACTTCATTTCTACAAAGTTAAGATTAAAGGAAAGAGAACTTTTCTTTTTGTTTGTTTTCCTGTTAAAAGTTCATATACTGTGAAATCATATATTTTGGTGGGGTGCAATTTTCGTGGGTATTTGTAAGAAAATAAAATGTGATTTCATGAATGAATGTAGCCTAATAGATCTTAATAGTTTTTGAATTTCATGGACACACAAGTTTTTGGATTTGGAGGACATACAAAACACCAAAAATAAATTCCCACAAAAATGAATGATCTTACAATGTTTAACATGCACACTGTCTGCACATGATATTTTGAAATTGATATGTACATCAAATTGCTTTGTGGCATTCAATTTTCATTATCAAATAGTGATGAAAATTGATTATGCAGGGAATGACTCGCCAAGAGGTTGTTGGTTCTGAAACAGACTTCATATTCATCTCCCTGTGTCAATGACTAAAATGACAAAAAACATTGACAAATTTTTGATTAATTATCAAGCCAATACTTACTATTAGATATAGACAATAAGACAACTGGTTTGTGGTATCTACTTTAATAGACTGTAGCACATGGACAACTGAACTTCACCAATTATTCTAACATCAGCAGAACATCTTACACACAAAGCGATGATTCTGGCTATATATACCTCGTCTTAGAGGAACGTAAAAATTGCATATGATGGGAACCAATGGTTATCAGAATTATGATCACATGATTTTATGACAGACAATTTTACTTTAAAACTTCAAAAATGGTTTTTGTAGATGTTTCTCCTACTCAGGGATAAACGTGCAATAAGAATGATTTTCTAAAACTGGAACCACAGATAACTAGAGTTGTCTCCTTTCACGTGCAACATGATTCTGTGAAATCCTCTTCACATTTAAAATTATAAATTAGAAACTTGTGCTGAAAGTGCTTGCAATTAGGGTTCATAGGCAAATAAGCAAATATCCCACAACATGTAGCTTCATAAGTTTTATTTTGTCTTTAGTAGCAGCTGTTCTAATATAAGTTTTCTCTGAGACCCATACACTATAGGATAGGAATACTGCTGTATAATTCTGAAACATGTGACTGATAATTACAATAGAATCACTTGATGAGGTACTGATTACTCTGGAATATAAGTA